GCGTCAAGAGGCGGCAGCGCAACGAAGGATCTTCTCCACCGGTGAAATTCAGTGACGTCATCAAACCACTGCTAGCCATCATGACCACTTCCTTTGAATGTCGAGACAGGGGTCAGACTTTGTGACCAGCAGCTACTACAGCTAGTGGAAACATGAATGGGACACATGCATTTTCGGACGAAGTGCTGTTGAGCGTAGAGAAGAGGTCAAAGGCAGCGATCACGATGGTGGAAGATGGCGCGATTCTGATGCCGTCGCTTGAACGAAATTGGTGGGAGAGCGTTGAGAGGTAGTCTGAACCACGCCGTTCAGCGCACTGAGAAGCCTAGTCCACCATGACATCTAATGTCGTCATCAGAAGTGCACCGCCTTCCAGCCATCGTGATCGCCTTCCAAATGTCAAGAACACCTATCAGCATCAACGTTGGCCTTTATCAGGGGACTTTTACAAGGTGGGGTCGTATTTCGGTTGTATGTTCGAAGTAGATTCACAAGGGCATCATATTTGAGACTTTCGGAGGAAGAAAATTCGAAATTACGTCACTGCTGACCCTGAGCTCATGACAAGATTGTAAGTTCAGAAACATAGGGCGATACACCGTAACGCTTTCGACGTTCCTGTTTTCCTAAACTTATAATCTTGTACACTCATGTACGTGTAAGCTAGCCGTTGAAGTCTTTGAAATTAAACAGCAAGATCAGATCTTTCACGAGCTTTTTCTTCTGGCGACCCCTAGAATGGTCGCACTTCGTTACATAGGATACGTGGTAGGGGGCGTGACCAAAATTCGTTTTGAAAGGAATGTGCTCGAACACATCATGAGAGTCCTCCTTTTTGAACCTTTTTTCTGCCGCTGAACCGCTTCTGGCTTTGTAAAAACGGAAATCCGATCCATATTATTATTTTTCTTCGGAAAGGGGAAGGGAAAAGGGGGAGATAAAAGCGGATCCAAATTTTTGTTATCCCTTTTTTATGTGAAACGTGGTTCTCGAAATTAGAGAACAAAAGGAAGTGAGTGTTCCTCGGGCAAAGTCAGTGCACATTTCCAAAAGTTGCCATTGCAGATTTTTCAATTACATCAATAAGGGTCAACAACACAGACCCGCATGTAACTCGGTCCACTCTAGAGGTGAAACAAGGCTCAGAAAAACATTATCTGAAGCATCATCGGTGGAAGACATGGTAAATTCATCCCTTCCCTTTTGTGCGGATGTGCTGGGAGCCAAACGTAACGCTTTTAGGCCAGACAAAACTGTACCAAAATCGCTGCTAGCAGTGTTTCGAATTCTTCATCAGACAAGAAAGTCAAAAACACCAATAGTGGTTCACTGCTCTGCTGGAATTGGGAGAACTGGATCCTTTGTATGTCGTCTACCTTTGATTTTTGTCCCCTCATTAATTTCTTCTTGAAACTTTCATTTGTGAAAACAATACCGTTGGAAGGCAGTCCGACAACATGCCCGAACCCGAAGGGGGCATGGTCAGACTGCCTCGCGACCACTTCTGGCAATGAAGTCCTCAGATCGACTGCTCCCTTTGCTGGCTCCAAATTCCAGTGCGAAAAATATAGAAAAAATACACATAAAAAAGAGCAATAAACTTTTCTCTACAGGTTGCCATTGAGATGGGGCTTCAACAACTATTGACCGGCAATCAATTGAACCTTTTGGAATGTTGTAGACGATTAAGAGGTATTGATCGTCATAGTTTGGATCGGCGTGTAACGCACATGTAATATCAGTGTATCAGATCAGCGAGCTCACAGCGTGCAGGTCGAGATACAGTACATATACGTGGCCGAAGCACTTTGCGAGTATGGCAGGGCCATGAAGTACATCGTCGACCCGCAACTTCTGAAGGTAACGGTTTTTAATTCTTCATTTTCGTCTGTAAAGGTGCCTTCTTATGGGGCTCTAGTCCACTCACGAGTCCCCAAATAAGCAAAAACTTTTGAATAAGCCCTCCAACCTCCCTTGCCTACATTTCGGCTAGATATCTCTCCCTTTCTTCAACCACCGACCCTATTGCATTCCTTTACCTTGCCCAGGTTGATTCGTCGTACGGAACGCAGCTCATCACTTACGAATCTCTTTTGAGTAGCGTTTAACATTTTTGCAGTTTTCTAGGAGGACTGACAGGGTGCGCTCAGTACAGCAGCAGCGAATCCCATTACTTATCTTCGGCTGCTTTACCGACAGCAATGCACTCGAAATCTTAATTCTGCTGGTATGGAGGACAGCGATCCGCGACTTTACCTTCCATTGCAACAAAACGTATGCTTCGCATGAGCAGCCGGCTTAACTGTCAAGTGTAGACGCAGTTTTATCAATTCTTGAAATCGGATGCTCCTTACTCTTCTTCAGATTCCCCTTAAAATTTGTGTTCGAGAAAAATCCCTTCAGGTCACAATATGAATGAAAGCAAGTCTAAGGTCTAAGATTCTAATCGATTTCAGGAATTCGAGAAGTTCAAAGAATCGTTCAATGTGTTTGTTGCCGGCCTTGGAATAGAAGAGCAACCACCGCCTGCTCCTCCTTGTCCCATACCACCGCCTGGACCACCTTGTCCCTTACCATCACCTGCTGCTCCTTGTCCCATACCATTTCCAGCACCCAAAGGAACCGCCGCTGTAGCTGCAACACAATACCAACCCGAACAGGATCTACCGTAACCGGCCATCATTACTGAGCCGAACTTTCAATGATACTCGCCATATTTTTGTCTATTAATTAGTACTCAAACATTAAGGAGATACACTTATTACAGTTACAATTTATTTCTATGATCAGTGTGTTAGATGTGAAATGAACCCTCTGTAATCGCTCTACATTACAGTAACTTGAAACACTGATCAATAAACAAATTCAGTTGTGTTCTTTGTTTCTGTCCATACTGTATGCATCAAATACAATGCTAACCACATTTGAATGATAGCTGGATAGGAGTGTACTGTGCTTTTCCCAAGGCTTTGACCACTATTCATTATGGCCCTCACGGAATAGAGGTGCTTTTCACCTTATTTCTGCTAAAGTCGGCAAGTGGCGCATAAAACCTGCCTCTCAAACAGCCCGCCTCTGCGCAATGCACGTCTCAAGATTGAACCATTGATCTACATCCGATTCATCGTCAGTACCAAGCTTTCGTAAGATTATAAAAACGCTAACCTAACCTATACATGGTAGACCAGACCCAACAACTCACCAACCATATGCAATGCTTTCAGGTCGTCGTATAGCGCCTAAATAAAAGCTGAGAATTAACGAAGGAAAAAGGACAAAATCATATGGTTTATCAAAAGGTTGACGGCACATTTTACATCGAAATTTAATGTTGAACTGGGAATCTAGGCGCGAAGGGAGATCCCAAGTGAGTTGAAGGTGGACTAGGCAACGGCGAGACTTGTCGAAGAGACCACGTCCGTCCGGGCGCTTTGGTCCATTCATTTCACATGTGCATCGGGGTTCCGTTCAGCAGGGAGCAGCGCCAGGGTTTGGCGTGAGGGTAGATACGGGGACTTATGCTGCGCTCACTCCCGCCACTGTGCCACGCGGACACCTAAAAGGCCTAAGCAGCCCCGACTGGGAACACATGACTCGCTACGAAACGCTGTACCCGGGACTGAGCCGTGATGTTATCTTACTACTATGTTATACCCTAAGACTGGCCCAGCCTACGGGCCACTGTGCGTACGCAGCACATATAAATATAGAATAAATATAGAAGAGGTACGCCGCGGATGTAACCGTCTGAGATATTCTGCACAACATAACAAAGTGAACCTTAGATGCGTGTAAAAGGAACTGGTGAGTTATGAAGAAAAAGAATCCTACAATACAAATGACGAACTACTTCCTCACTCGGGGCGACGTGGCTTGGGCTCCGCTGTCTATCCTCACCCATGTCCGGATCCATCTTCAAGACGTACGGCGAACTGACGCGAGTGGTGACAGCGAAGTACGAAGCGATGACGAACGACTGCACTCGACGGCGGCAACACGTAGACTGACTGCAGGCAAGGGCGCCTGCGCTCTGCTTCTCTGGCGCTCTTCTCGAAGCTTCGATAGCACGGGCGCGCCAGGACCCGCGCACACCCGACCAGGCGCGACCCTTTGGATAAGTCGTACGGAAGTCACGACACCCTCCCACCGACTAACTAAGCACGCAAAGGGAAACGCCGGTGAAGAAAGCAGGAAAAGCAAAGACAGAAAAATCGACACCAAACGTCGAGCACAGTCTTCGGACTATTTGAGCTTGATACTTCAAACCGCGCCAATGAGCTGTTTTCGTCTGCGCTCTCTTGTCAAGACAGCGGCTCACGGAAACCTACCACACCGTAGTTGCCTCACCGAAGCCGGACTACCGTTCACCTTCAAAGCTCAGGTCAAAATTATTACACTTCCCAGGCGTTCGAAGCCGACTCAGTCGCGTCCAGCCTTCAACGCGTAATCATTTGGTCCAGTCTTTGCGCTGCAGGGAACCAGGAGAAAAATTCAAGTAGTTACGTAAGGCCAAGCAGAGAGCAGAACGAAACAGCACAGCAGTAATCAGAGCTGCGTAGGCCGACGCTCTGTACGCCTGCACTTCCTTTTCGAATAACAGCTGCAGCTACAGTGCGTACCAAAAGTA